CCAGCCTGGCAACATGGCAAAACTCCGTCTCTACAAAAAAAAAAAAAATACAAAAATTAGCCAGGTGCAATGGTGCACCTGTTATCCCACCTAGTTGGGCGGCTGAGGCAGGAACATCGCTTGAGCCTGGGAGGTGGAGTTTGCTATGAGCCGAGGTTGCACCACTGCACTACAGCCTGAGTGACACAGTGAAAAGAAAATAGTATTCTACGGTTTCATTTTAACAGAGATACTGATTATAGACTTGTTTGCTTAAATAGGTGGCTGGCATCACAGGGTCTCTGGTCAATCTCTTCACATAGCTGTGGCAACAGAGAATGCTGAAGCCAAAGGGGGATATTTACTAGCCACAGCTGCCTTCACAGAGATATTTACTAGCCACAGCTGCCTTCACAGGGATATTGACTAGCCACAGCTGCCTTCTAGCCCTGATCACAAAGGATTTTGGTAGGAGTGTCAAATAGACCCGGGACAAGTTTATCATCACATCTAGAAAACCAACTTCAAATGATGGATTCCCTTCATATTAAAAAATGTGAAATTCAAAAATATTTATGTACTTTGAAAATATGTATACAATTATCAGACCTGACATTAATAGTTGAGTTTTTTTAAAAAACCAATAAAAAAAAACCATGAAACATATACCCTTCCTCTCATCTGATTTATAAGATTTATGACAGAAGCCACTATATTTTCTATGGATACATCTGTAGGGTTAGTAAGTGATCTTTGCTTACTACACCTTCTGAAATTCAAAGCGCACAGGACAACAAAAGGAATGCTACCTTTCTTTATATTGTTCCCCCTATTTGGAATACTTCTACCTTTAAAATCAAAGTTCTTTAAATGAGCCGGGCACAGTGGCTCGAGCCTGTAATCCCAGAGCATTGGAAGGCCAAGGTGGGCGGATCACCTGAGGTCAGGAGTCGGAGATCCAGTCTCTACTAAAAATACAAAAATTAACTGGGCATGGTGGCGGGCACCTGTAATCCCAGCTACTCAGGACCCTACAGCAGGAGAATTGCTTGAACCCAGGAGGCAGAGGTTTCAGTGAGCCGAGATCGTGCCACTGCACTCCAGCCTGGGTGACAGAGGGAGATTCCATTTCAAAAACAATAAAAATAGGACGGGCATGGTGGCTCACACAGTAATCCCAGAACTTTGGGAGGCCGAGGCGGGTGGATCGCTTGAGGTCAGGAGTTTGTGACCAGTCTGGCCAACATGGTGAAACCCAGTTTCTACTCAAATACAAAAATTAGCCAGGCCTGGTGTCACACGCTTATAGTCCCAGCCACTAGGGAGGCTGAGGCAGGAGAATAGCTAAAACCTGGGAGGTGGGGGTTGTAGTGAGCCAAGATCAAGCCACTACACTCCAGCCTGGGTGACAGAACAAGACTCCATCTCAAAAAATAAATTAAAAAATTAAATAAATAATAAAGTTCTTTAAATGATTCTCAACCTGGTCTGCAAGTTAAAGTCCCCAGGGAACTTTAAATTACTGATGCTTGGACCCCCAGGAATTCTGATTGAATTGTCCCTAGCTAATTCTAATGTCCAGTCAGGGCTGTGAACCCTTGCTCCAAGTCTTCTCAGCCTTCTCCATCAAGCTTTTGCCTCCTATTGTATCATGTATCCTTT